GGTATTAAAAAAAAGAAGATAGTTCCTTGGTGGACACCAGAATGCTCAATAGTAATTCAACAAAGAAATAAGGCTTTTAAGACACTTAAGAAAATAACTTGTTTCCAAAATCTAATAAATTATAAAAGGAAACAGGCAGAAGTCAGGAAAATTATAATAAAGGCTAAAAGGGATTATTGGAGGAAATATTGTGAATCTTTGGGGGAAAACACTGCATTAGACAGGGTTTGGAATACTATTAAAAAAATGTCTGGGAATTCAAAAGGGTATTTTTTCCCAATAAAAAAAGAGAAGGTTCTGCTGCATGGAGCCTCTGATCAGTCACATGTAAGAAGACGAGCTCCACCCAGGCGACCTGTAGACAGTACAGACAAAATTGATGGTTTCACTATTAAACCATGTATTATTTGCAAAGCTGATGACCACAGTGCCTTGTCACATTGCCGAGAAAATAGGCTTTGTTTCAAGTGTTATGATCCAGGCCATTCACGCCACAACTGTCCAACCAAAAGAACTACTCCAGAGCATCAGGAAAACTGACTGGTCTGCACACAGGGGAGGACAGTGCAGATGAACTCAATAAACCTCCCACCAGTAATGAGTTACCAGAAATCCAAGATAATGCATCCCTCTATGAGTTGTACAGTAGTACATTGACACCATCCAAGAAACTGATACTCCAGGGATCCCAAAGAATAGCAGAAACCAACAGCCTGTTCTACACACCTGTGACTGTACAGAATGGGCCCACCCTCAAAGCACTGTTAGACAGTGGTTCAATGGCTTGCACAATAAGTCAGACCTCTGTTCAGTCCCTTTTACAGCAGTGTCCTGACATAGCAAAAAGCACGGCTGAAGATTATGTCATCATAGGCTGTGGTGGACAACAGATTTTCCCCAAAGACATGTATGACCTTGATGTCATGGTTTATGGATGCAGGATGATAATTCCAACAATGGTTGTTCCAGGCCAGACAGAACAGATGATTCTTGGCAGCAATGCCATCAAACACATTCTAACCCAACTAAAGAACACTGACAGTTACTGGAGACTAGTTTCCTCACCCAACAATGGCCAGACACCCGACCACTGCCAATTTCTGTCACTGCTATCCAACACAGAACGTTGGAGGGGTGATTGCATTCCAGATAAAGTAGGGACAGTGAAAGTCAAGAGTTGTGTGACCCTGAAACCACAGAGTGAACACCTTGTCTGGAGCAAGTTACCTGAGTCAGCAGTTATGTCGGCAGGCAGTACAGTGATTGTGGAGCCAACACGGTCTAAAGCTGGGCCAAAACATATCCTTGTTGGCAGAGTTGTCACTCCTCTTTGGGGAGATCGATGGGTACCTGTTAGGGTCATCAATCCGACAGACCGAGTTGTAGTACTGAGGAGAAATACCAAATTAGCAGATGTGTCTCCATGTATTGCAGTTGAGGACCTGCCAAAAGCTGACAAGATTGAGTGTAATGTGCAGTGTGTACAGAGTGAAGTTGTGCAGCCAAAGTCAGAGGAGGACATGATGTATGCACTGAAAGCTCTGGGTCTGCAAGATATTGACCTGAAATCATGCGAAGTGTCACTGCAGTGGAAAGACAAGCTCCTTGACCTTATTGTGCAGCATGAGTCAACCTTCTCCCGTCACAAGATGGACTGTGGAGAAGCTAAGGGGTTTGTTCACCGCATTCATCTTGTTGATGACAAACCGTTCCGTTTACCCTACAGACGCATACCACCAAGCCAGTACGAGAAACTGAGAACGACTCTGAATGAAATGGAAGAGAGAGGCATTATCCAGAAGTCAAACAGTGAATATGCATCTGCACTTGTTCTGGTATGGAAACCAAATGGTGACAGAGTCTGCACTGACTTCAGATGGCTCAATGCGAGAACCGTGAAGGATGCTTACCCACTACCGCATCAAGCTGATGCTCTGGCTGCTCTTGGTGGTAATGCCTTCTTCTCAACAATGGACCTGACATCAGGCTTTTATAATGTCCCTCTGCACCCTGATGACAAAAAATATACAGCATTCTCATCTCCATTTGGACTTCATGAATACAATCGCCTCCCTCAAGGCCTGTGCAACAGTCCGGCTACATTCATGAGGATGATAATGTCCATATTCGGTGATGAGAATTTCACAAGCCTATTGTGCTACCTCGATGGTCTGATGGTTTTTGCACCTACAGAGGAAACTGCACTCCATCGCCTACACATGGTTTTCTCCCGCCTCAAGGAACACAACCTTAAACTTGCACCCAAGAAGTGCTTCTTCCTAAGGCGATCTGTGAAGTTTCTTGGACATGTCATCAGTGACAATGGTGTCCAAACAGACCCTGCGAAAGTAAAAACCATAAATGATGTCCAAGTCACTGACCTCATGGAGTCTGATGGGAAAACACCTTGCCCTAGCAAAATCAGATCATATCTAGGCATGATAATGTACTATCAGAGCTTTATTGAAGCATGCTCCGCAAAGGCAAAACCACTGTTTAAGCTCACAGCTGGACTGGATGCTCAAAACAAGCACAAAAAGGGTAGCAAACCTGTCAAAAAGAGAGGTCATGTGAAGCTGACACCTGCTGATTGGACAGATGCATGCCAGACTGCTTTTGAGACACTGAAACATGACCTCATGACAAGTGTTATTCTAGCCCATCCAGATTTCAAAGCCCCATTCATTCTAGCTGTCGACACATCTTTTGATGGGATTGGAGCAGTCCTGTCACAACTGCTGTCTGGTGGAACAGTGGCTAGGCCAGTTGCCTTTGCAAGTAGAACCCTTTCACGCTCCCAGCTAAACTACCCTGCTCACCGGCTAGAATTTCTTGCATTAAAATGGGCAGTATGTGATAAATTCAGCCATTGGTTGAAGGGCAGACACTTCACCATATGGACTGATAATATTCCATTGACATATATCCTGACTAAGCCCAGACTTGATGCATGTGAACAGCGGTGGGTGGCAAAGCTTGCTGCATACAATTTTGACCTGAAATACATCCCTGGCTCAAAGAACATTGTTGCAGATGCCTTGAGTCGTGAGCCATTTGTCCAGTCATGTGTGGGTCATCACCCCGTAAATGAGCCATATACCTTGTTGTTGGATCAGGTCAACAGTGTGAATGACAGACTCGTGCAGGATGTCTTCAGAGTGTCCAACAACTGTCAAGCTGTTGTAGACGATGGTGGTGAGATACCAAATGAGCCAGTTTAAGACAAAGTTCCACCAAATACAAAAGGCTCAGTCTCAGCAGAGGAAGTTGCTGCCATCCTCAATGTTCAGTCCAGTGGAGGTGTGAGCCCTATGATGGGAACTGGTGTTGACCCCAATTTTCTGCTGGATGAAAACCAATCATCTGCATTTCCACAGAGTCAGCTTGTCAATTGGCAGGAGGCTGACAACACAATCAGCAGAGCCATGTACTTCGTACGGAGACATAGAAGACCTACCAAATGTGAAAGGGCTAATGAATCACGGAGCGTGATTAAGCTGTTGAAACACTGGACCAGACTCACCATACAGAATTGCATGCTGTACAAGGCAAGGAAAGATCCTCACATGAACAAGAAAATCCTCCAGTTCATAGTACCTGACTCAATGAAACAGAAAGTTCTTCATGGCCTCCATGACGCAGCAGGTCACCACGGCCAGCACCGTTCCTTGTCTCTGGTGAGGCAAAGGTTTTTCTGGAGTGGCATGAGCCATGATGTCATGAACTATGTTCAGTCCTGTCAGCGCTGCATTGTAGGGAAGACACCTGAACCACATAGTCGTGCTCCACTCCAAAACATAGTCACTACAAAGCCTATGGAATTAGTCTGCATAGACTTTTGGACTGCTGAGTAAGGGAACAAGTCTGTAGATGTTCTAGTTGTTACTGATCATTTCTCCAAGATGGCACATGCCTTCCCCTGCAAGAATCAGACTGCCAAGGAAGTTGCTCATCGTCTCTGGAACAACTTCTTTCTCATTTATGGGTTTCCTCGCCGTATACATTCTGACCAAGGGGCCAACTTTGAGAGCAAGCTAATCAAAGAGCTTCTAGAGATGGCCGGAATAGAGAAATCCCATACAACCCCTTATCACCCCATGGGGAATGGTGTCGCAGAGAGATTCAACAGGACTCTGGGAGACATGATCAGATCCCTTCCCCCGCAGCCAAAAACAAAGTGGCCACAAATGCTACAGCTACTAACCTTCTGCTATAACTGCACAGAGCATGAGACAACAGGGTTCGCACCATTCTACCTGGTGTTTGGAAGGATCCCTCGTCTACCTGTTGACGTGATGTTTCAACATGCCCTCACCAATGATACTGTTGTCAGCTACTCAGACTTTGTCTCTGACCTAAAGAAAAATCTACATGAGGCTGCTCAGATTGTGCAGAAAAACAGCCTCAAAGAACAGACTCGCCATGCCAAGTTATACAACCGCAAGATCAAGGGATCACCTCTTGTCATTGGAGATAGAGTATTGATTGCCAACAGAGGAGTACAGGGGAAACACAAGGTTGCAGACAAGTGGGAACCTACCCCTTATGAGGTCATATCAGTCAAGCCTGCTATCAATGTCTACAGAGTTAAGGATGTCCTAACGGACAGACTTGTCCACAGAAACCTGCTACTCTCTGTTAACTTCTTGCCCTGTGAGAGTGCTGAGGACCATGAATCTGACCATGAATCCGACAGTGCTGCTGCTACGCATGGAAGTGGTCTATGTCCAGATATAGCTGATGTGATGGAGGAAAGTGATGTCCGCACGGTCAACTGGCTGATGCAGTCCGGCGATGATGGAACCAATTCAGATGATGACGACTCATTTGACCAGAGATCCTGTGCCGCCCAATCTCTCACATAACAGGACGGACGGGTAAAGACAGAGCTGTTACACATATACACAAAAGCGTCAGTAACAAGCTATAAGGCTCTTTATGCTCTAACCACATGCTTGATCAGAATATGATACAAATAAGAATGCAAACCAATAACTTACCAACAAGGTAGATCTCATCAGTTTCATGTGAAGTACAGAAGCGTTGTTTCATAACTGCAGAAATCCGAATACAATCTGGGTTGGGAAGTGACGTCACTTGGCAGAATATACATATTTTCTAAATGAAAGTACTCCTTAGACTTTTATTCAAGTATTACTCTCCATTGAGATACATTTACATTACTTTAGAATAAATGCAATGCAGATTATGCAGGAAAGGGAATGAGAAAAATCAGACTTATAACCATTATTTGAATGGAAAGGATAATGTTTGGCCGGTGTTCTGACTATCAGTGCTACCTTGTCAGATTTTCCTATCACAGCACAAATAGATAGCTAAGTCTATCTGCCAGTGCTATGCGTCCAAAACTGCTACCGTCATGTCTGCAAACAGAAAACTATAGCGGGTTGTGTTAATGTTAAATATATTGGATAACATTATTTGAGTGACAGGACTGAAGTGGAAGCCTAGGAGTTATACTTAGCTTAGCATTGGAACAATTTATATACACAACAAAACCACAAGAATATCACTTCCTTCATCTGAATATCCTACCCATTTAAAATGAAAAGCTATAGATGTATGCATTAATCCTTTTATTAGAATATCCTACCTGTTAAAAATATTTTAAATACAGAGGTGTTTGTAAGAATAAAACAGTATCAGACAGGGGAAACAGGTTTTTATTGGAATTAAAGTAAACACAGACAAATACAGATCACCGCAACACATTTTTGCGCATTAATAGGTTGTATGTCTATTATCAGATGCAGCGCAGCCACAATGTATCCACCGAACTGCACAGGTCACTGTGGTCCTGAAGTGATAGGATATGATTCATGTACACTAATATTACACCGCTATTATACAGCTTCAATCTCACATAGTATTGCTACCAATATCTATTTAGCAAGGTTTAGTAATATAGAGTGTTATTAAACTAAAATATTTTAAAGGGACAAAAAAGCCCACAAAAAAATGTATTTTGTCCTGATTAACCGCCAAATAATGACTTGTTTACAGTAACGACATTGCAGACGGTAAACTAAAGCCATTTATAAATATATTTACAATCTGCCTGTCATGTAAACTAAAAACATGAATACGTCAACTAATGAAAGCCAGGTATAAAATAAATTAAATAAAACTTACCGTAATCTGCGATGAAATAAAACACATGAAACGAAACTTCCACAGGTAGGACATATTTATAAGAAATCTGCTGAATAAGCAGTATGTGACATAGCATCGATGTGCGCATGCGCATTACCACAATGTAGAACGGATTTACGGGTAGCACAGATAAACAGAACACCGGGCGTGGAGCCCCCTAGTGCCTAAATTGGAATTAAAGTTAGCAACCGCATTTTATAAAAACGTTGCACAGGGACATTCATACTAATTTCAGACAACATTCAGAGATCCATACATGAGTAACATGAGATATATTCATAATTCAGCTCATCAGCGATCCATCAGCATCTTATTCAAGCAACTACCCTTATTAGGAGCGGCTACGTATGTAGTGTTTAGGGGAAATTGTAGTTGATGATTTTACAGACGAGCTATGGATTCAGCATGCTGGAATGACAACTTTTTATGAAATGTGTGATGCTGTGAGAGCTCTGAGAGAGCCAGCTGCAAAAACACATCATCAGCCTTCTGCCACTTCCTGTCACCTTCTTCATCTTTTTCACCAACAATAACATCTGGCTGCCGATCACGTGATTCGTGCAGTGCGAAAAATGTGTTTCCATTTCAGTCTTGCAAAATACACGTACATTAAAAAAATCTACTTCATCCTTTCGCAAAAACGTTTTATTGACAAATAAAAAGACATTTTTTTTAATTCATGTGTCTCCATTAAGCTAATTTTTGTAATTTCTATTTGTGCAATTTTATGGTTAATGGGAACACTGAGTAAACATCAGCAACTAACAGCTTCATCTGTTACTATTAAAATTCTCCAGTAAGGAAGATTTACCAGCTACGGCACAGAGAAGTCATACCAGCAGCTGAAAGCAAAACATCAAATCCTTTGCTTTTTAAAATATATATATATATATATATATATATATATGTGTGTGTGTATTTGCAGAATAACCTAGCTGTGCTAGTGCACCGATAATGTAGACAGGGCAGCATTTATACAGAAAGTCAACTCAGAAATCAGCCCACACATGGAGAGGATTTAAAACCTGGAGAGCAAGAAGAGGCTCTACCTGTTTGTTGGGATGGGAGCCATCATATCCTAGCAGCAGGTTGGAGCGTGTTGGGTGAAGCAGCAGGTCAGTGGGTCTGAACGGGATGGAGAAGCCTTGCACCGTCTTACAGAAGTCAAATGTGCTCCACAAATAGTTGTTGGTGGAGTCCACAAACAGATACTAAGAAGAAGTGAAGACAGAGCATTAGATTTTAATCTGCAATATAGTTTGCAATAATGACAAAACTCCCCAAAAAACCTGAGAAAGGGAGAGCATCATATACTAATAGTTCAAATGATCACACAGAACCACTGTACAAGTATAAAGTAGAAATTCGGTTAAATTCAACAAGGCTTTCTTTACCCCAAAAGGAAATGAAATGTCGTCGTAAGTCATGTCATTCAAGCGTCTTCAAAGGGTCTTCTCCAAAAGAAGTCAGTTTTGAAGTCAGTTTTGCAACCAATCTGAAGAAGAAGATTCTTGCTGTATGACAGTCATAGCTATCATCACATGCTAACAGCTCAATATCCAGGCAGCAGAAATTATATTCCACAGTAACATGTCCTGGATAACGCATACACACACAGTTGTTAGCAGCTCTGTTAATCCACCTCATTTGTTTTCGTTGTTCCAAGGCCTGTCTCGATAACAAATTTTGCTGAGCGATTAATTGTCTAAAAAATTATTGCGATAAACGATAATATTGTTTCAAGACCTTTTGACACTGATTTAATGAAAATTACATAATATTGCATGCGATTTCCTGCCATAGATAGATGCACTTTATTTTCAAAAGAACACATAATACTGGAACTGATAAACTAAATAAACAAAACAACTAAAAACAAAATGGATTCTCAGTCTCCATTAACAAAAAACGTACTTGAATAAAAACTAAACAACATAAAGCCAAAGTAGAACTAAATACTGCATTCAACCAAAAGAGTGCAGATTATGAAGTCTGTATACTATATTGCCCTTCAGTAATCACTAGATTTAAATAGAGAAGACGGGCACATCCGACTACCTAATGCAGTAGNGCAAGGTTGCAGACAAGTGGGAACCTACCCCTTATGAGGTCATATCAGTCAAACCTGATATCAATGTCTACAGAGTTAAAGATGTCCTAACGGGCAGAGAGAGAGTTGTCCACAGAAACCTGCTGCTCTCTGTTAACTTCTTGCCCTGTGAGAGTGCTGAGGACCATGAATCTGACCATGAATCTGACAGTGCTGCTGCTACGCATGGAAGTGGTCTATGTCCAGATGTACCTGATGTGATGGAGGAAAGTGATGTCCGCACGGTCAACTGGCTGATGCAGTCCGGCGATGATGGAACCCATTCAGATGATGACGACTCATTTGACCAGAGATCCTGTGCCCAATCTCTCACAGTCGTCACATCCAGCCCAGCCAATCACCCGATTCCCATCCACAATATTGGCCACTCAACAGTCGATGATGTAGAAGATTCAAAACATTGTCCAGACATTCTATCCCCAGACATGGTCACGACCAACTCTGTCCATCCAGACGTGCCCTGTCCTGACAAATTTCTCACGGACTCCCCCCCCCTGGTTGACAATCCCCGAGACATTGACACCCCTGTAATAGCTACTGTAGACGGTGACTGTTCAGACACTGCTATCCCAGACTTACCTCAGATTGTTTCCTCACAACTTGACCGCCGTATTCTTAGGGACCGTAGTTCCATTAGGCCCCCCAGACGTCTTATTTGTGAGATGAATAACCAAACAGTAGATGAGACTGCTTTATCTGCTGTGTCCGTTAATTCCCTGATTCAGTTTTTTTCAAGTGCACTTTCAGTTAAGTAGCAGAGTTAGAACAGTGTTAACCATAGAAGTGCTTGAGTAGTACTTTTAGAACAACAGGAACAGTATTTACATTTCAGAGGTGTAATGGGCACCTTTGAGTCTATTTTTAGTTAGGAGTTTGATCGCCTCCTTTCTTTACATACTTCCTTTTGGGAGAGTGTTTGCACTGACAAGTATACCCAGTTTTGTTCCTAGTGTTGCATTTTTTTTGCTTTCTCCTTAGTGTACGCAAATTTTTTTTGTTTTTCCTTTTGTTTGGTCTGAGGCATTACTTTTGATATTTAGCAGAATTTCAGGGGGGTGTATGTAACGGGTATTAGATATACAGATGAAATTCCTGCTAAAATATGTTTCACAGTTATCCTGTAATTGGTGGTTTTTGGCGCCCCCTACTGGTTACCTATAAATTGGATGAGAAACCAAAAATTCCACACAGTTGGTTCAGC